CCTTGTGGGCTCCTCAAACTGCAGCCAGAACCCACCACACTCAACCACTTCTCTAAATCTACAAGATATAGGATTGTTTTCCAAAATGTTAATATTAAAATCACCAGTGATGAAAACAGACTTATTTTTTACTCTTTTTTGCAGAAGCAAAAGCAGCTTTTCGAATCTGACCAGAAACAATTTATTCATTTTGTAGGTTGGAATTGTATAGACTGAAAGAACAATTAAATTGAAATCTGGGAGTTCAACTGCTGAACCTTCAAATATAAAATCTTCATTCAAATCAGAGAAATCCTTTAAAGGTATAAATTTACATTGTTTATTAATTAAAATACATGAACCTCCTCTTACACCATTTTCTCTTACATAAAAATCTGCCAAACAAAAATTATTGATTGTGTTAGCCAGATTAATAGAGTCATTGTCAAGCCAATGTTCAACAAGTGATATTACTTTAATTTTTAAAGCAGACTGAGTTAAAAACAAATTGAGTTCTGATATTTTTGACGAGCTTAAATTTTGAATATTATAAAACATTATAAGATCTGAATTACATCCTGGATGAATAAGTTGTGGATTTTTATTATCTTCAGTTGAATTTATGTCAAAATTATTAATATCAAAATTATTAATATCTGTTACTGTAAAATTTTGGAGACTGGCAGACTTATGGTCTTTGTCAGTACAGCTTAGTTTAAATCTAAATTTACAGAAGAAAATAAATCACTATTTTGAATGCAAGACACTTTACTCTGCTTTTCCACTGCACACACTGGTGTTGACTTCAGTGCCTCACTGTAGCTGGGTTGAACAGTTACCACCGCAGGGCTGACAGGTCTAGAAGGATTCTCTTCCAGGTGTACTATGGGACCAACAGATTGTGAAGAAGTCAAGGCAGCAGGTTGAGGTCTGACAAGATTATCCTGTTTTGTCGAGCTAGAGAACTGGGAGCCCTCTTCAGTTTGCTTTGATGGATCCTCAGAGTAGTTGTTCTCAGCAGAAGGCAGGACAGAGGTAGGTTGATAGGAATTAAGAAGGTTCTGCAACTGCTTCAGAAATTCTGCATACGACAGCCCATTCCACAGTTTTCTTCTGGCAGTAGGTTGATCATATGCTACTACGACTACGGTTGCATTGGTCTCATTCTGCAATTTAGTAATGTTTCTCGTGAAATGCTCCAACTTTATTTGGTCACGGACAACACCCATGGGCGAACAAATCAATTTTTTAAGTTTCTTTCTTTTGAAGTCTTGAATAAGTTGATCAAATGCCTCGTCATACTCTTCATTCGATGGTTTCCCATTGAACAAGTCTTTTGTGACAAGGCTATAAATTGTCGCACCATTTTGTTTAGTCTGGCATGTCAATCTGGAGCATACAAATTCAGATTGTTTTGGTCTTCCAAATTGTTTTCGGAATACGACCGCGACACCCGCGCTCATGTTCCTTTCATGCTGAAGGTCACTTGAAATTGTATGGGCAAAAGCCACAGACGGGTCATTTTTGTGACTATCAATAACTTTGTTCATGTCAGCAGCAATCACATTCACTGAGTTCAATGTGATGGATTGATTTTGCCTAACAGTTGACTTCACTTGAAATATTTCTTTAATCATTAGGGCTATCTTCTTTTTCCCGTGCCTGTTGAAATGCAATCCATGTCTAGTATATGATTCCCTTGTTAGTCTATTTATAGCTAGGAAGGAAACATGGTCATATTTTTTTGCAATTTCCTCCATATCCCAATTGAGGTAGCTTATTTTGTTATTTAAGGCTGGATTATGGTGTCTGTACGGTAAGCCTGAAATGATAACATTGGTGTGTTTGGTTTGATCAAGCAGACTTTCTATTTCATTGCTTAGACATCTTTCAGCTTGAGCAATATCATCATTCGACCCTCCTAACCAGACTAATGTATCTTCCTTAGAAAAGTTTTTTGTTAAGGCCTTTACATCCTTTATGACGTTTGCCGTCATCGCATTAGGTTTAAAGATGCTGCTTATCCTAAATTTATTTTAGGGCCATAAGTCCATAAGATTTTGCACAAGGTACCTAGCATGACTATCCCCAAGAATCAATATTTCCTTTGCTTTTCTTTGGTGCTTGTGATGGATGCGTTTACTAGGATTATTTAGTGAATTTGTCACAGCTTTTTTTGAACTAACTGTCTCACTTTCATTGCCTTGCTCCATCTTTTGGGATTCAAGATTCTTGTTTTTGCTTTGCTCTACAAATTGGAGTTCAGCTTTGTTCTGATTTGTCGACTCCGCTTTGCTCAGTTTTGCTCCTGGTGATCTTTCAGCTATGCTATTCTTACTCTCCACCACCTCTTGGATTTTAGTTTTACTCTTCTCTGCTTCTTGAGTTTCTCCAGTTTTGCCATTTTTGTTCTTCTCTGCCTCTTGAGTTTTATTAGCATTCAATTTGTCTGAACAGAGGGTGTCATCATTTTGGGAAAGGATGTCAAATCTGTTACAAAGATCTATTGAGCTGTCAAAGTTACTGTCATTAAGCAGAATGTTTCTTCCCTTAACAACAACAAATTCCTCGCACAGTTCTCTATTTTCCCTTTTCAAAAAGATATTTTCATTCCGTAAATCTCGAGTTGTGGAAATTAAAATCTCATTATCACTTGTTATCTCCGCTACGTCACTGCGGAGGGGCGGGGGAGGGGAAGTAGGATCAGACGGCGACAGCTAACATCAAAGGAGTGAGCCAGCCCTTGTATATCTGTAGCCCTGGCCCTAGCCACCTAGGTTAATTTGCCGATTTGTTTGTAACAAAATTGTCAAGGTTATTTAGTCGAATTAGCATAGAGGATCATCTATGGTGTCACCCGCTGGGGGCTAGGAGGATTAACATTTATGTTTTATCTTCCTAGGCCAGAGGCCACATTGGTTATAAATACGGCCCTATTATTATGCAACCAATTTTGACTGCGCCTTCACACAATCCACGAGGACAGTTAATGCAACCCGCATGACTGATGACAATTCTTTTACTTAGGTTGGTAGATAATTTATATCGATCGGTCAAGTAATAGTGTTAGTTTAGCTGTTGTAAACTACTTGACCTATAGGTTTGAACAAATTTTCATCATAAAAAAACGTATTTTAGTTCTCATATAAATATTGTTAAATTGTTATGATAGGGGACCCGTGTGGCTGAGCCTGTCACACTATCGCGGGCCCGTGTGCCGGTAAAATTAACCGAAAATCCCGGTCAAGGCTCACGGGCCCCCCTAGCTGGCGGGCCCCCCGCTATCGCCGCCACTGGCTGTCAGCTGTCACTTGTTAGTTGTCAGAGCTCAAGAGCTGTTGATTATAGCCTACACTAAAGTCCACCAGTGCTAACCGTGTTTAAATTGTTGTAAATAGGCCTACGGTAATTATTGTTTTCATTGTAACTTCAAAAAATTAGGCTGGTTTTGATTGAAATGCACTGTTTTTAAAGCTACAAACAACTATGTTTATCGCTTAGATTTTTATTATCAATTTTAAATTTCACTTCCTCTTTGGTCCTTATAAATAAAAAGTAATAACAATAAACAGGTATACTATAGTAAAATATCTGCCCAAAAAGATTTCCTGACTTCCTGACAGAACGCCTAAGTAATCAAAAATCCTAAACAAGCTCAAGCAAGTCATTAACCTTTCAGAGGGCGCATTGGTTTTCAAAACGGGAGAGGGCACACCCGGAGGTTACTTCCAGGTCAATAAAAACAAACATTTATGAAGTAAAATTTGTATTTTAATGCACAAATTAAGTTTTATTTTTAATTTTAAACATCAAAAATGTGTTTAGTAAACTCTTAATTATAAAATAACTTAATTAAGATTTTATAAATATAAAATTAAACTATTATTCAATCGAATGTTCTAACATAAAAAAAGTATAATGAAGAAAACTTTTACAAGAATATATTCAAGAAGTTAATTTAAATTTTACCACAATGTCCTATAACGGGGTTTTAGATGATGACACTCTCAATAGGCTACCTGATGTAGGCTATTAAGTAATTTAACATAAGTTAATGGGTATCTTAATACTAAATGGCTCTGTACATTCGTCGCTCGTGAATCTCCCTTTCAGCACTGGCTAAGAGTGTTGCAATTCGAATTTTAACTTCTTCACTCATCTTGTAAAAACTATATATTTACTAAATAATGACATGAATTGTAAAAAATAATCGTTTACAGCAATTATTTACACCCAATAATCAACGCACACACTAAACTAGAGGTCGCATCACTGAAGTTGTCTCCAGGCTGTACGAGAATCGGCAGAGCGCACACGGAAGTTACTTCCAGCCTCTTACAAAACTGAACAAAACTAACAAATATAAAATAGTAGGGGTAGAGTTTTGACCTTCACTCTATTCTAGGAATGAGGTGCGTAAGGTACAGTGACACTCACACTGAAGACACCACTCAAAATAATATAATCGCGAAAAATCAAACATCCCTGGAGGTTACTTCCGTGATGCGACCTCTGGAAGGTTAAAAAGTAGATTCCTCCAAAGTAATTTCGATATTGAAGATATCGATATTTGGATCCGATATTATCGTGATATCGATATTAGAGGCTGGAATCGTTATCGATAGGCCTACCTATCTAATATCGATAGATTGCTGATATCACAACAACCCCATGACCAACTAATTCAAGGTCTACAGCTTAAGTATGGGGTACAGTTTCTTAACTGGGCTACGCTAATATTTATTGAAACTATCGATTCGATTAGTAAACCTTCATGCGATTTTTTCACCATCAGCAAGTTTGGTTGGTTAGGTTAGGTTATGATAGTTTAATTTTATAATAGATTATATTTTAAAATATATTTGATTATTAATCAATATTTTCAATTCGATAGTTTCAATAAATATTAGCGTAGCCCAGTTAAGAGACTGTACCCGTATACTGGTAGGCCTACGTTTAGGGGTATTTGTTTAGGCTAGTTTCAAGGCTAGGCCTACCAACAATTTAACTAAACATCTTACCGTTTCGCTTTCTCCAAGGTAGATGTTCCACTCTGAAGAAACTGGACAAGATTATTTGGTATAGAGTGATCAACCCCACTTACATCTATAATATCACCATCACAAGATAATTGAACTCCTAATCTTTGGGGACCTCCTTTTAAAGCTTTAAACTGGACAAATCGCATTCTTAGAGTATTGATGTTGGTAAGGGAAAAGTTTCTGAACTGAATTAAAAAGCCAAGAGCTGGCTTAGAAGAAGAATTTGATTGAAAATGAAAACTACTAAATTGAAGCTTATTATGGGTTGATCTTGTGTGAGATAGGAGTCTGTCATATGACTGAGACAGAACTCTTCTATACATCACACTCATTTTTTTTACAAAATAAGTAACGTAAGGACTGTTGGAAGGAGTGTTTAAAAGTTAAGTAAAATTAACTACGAAATTTTAACATCAGAATAAAATAATAAGTTACGAAAGTAAACAAAACAGTCGGTTAAAAACAAAGTATAATCATTGAAATCCTTTTAAATACTTATAAATAAGAATTCAGCTGTACTAGCATAGGTAGCCTATTATAAAACATTCATTAATTAATCACGTGTTCAGTTCCCGTAACGATTAATTATTTATCACAATCAAATCGCTCACAACACAACTTCACTCACAACTCACATAAATAAATAACCATAACCTAGAGTATTAGACTGGCAGGACAGGACAGACAAACAGACAGACAGAGACAGACAAAACAGACACGAGACTTGGGACTTGGAGTCTTGGAGACTTTCTCTCTCTGGCAGTGTTGCCAATCCCTTTTTGTCAAATTACCCTCAGTCCTGCCCAAAATTACCCTCGAATACCCTCGAAAACCACCAACGTCGCAAAACTAGAAGTTTTTACATTACTGGGCACTGTTTCGAATATAAATTATTGATTTTATATTGGAAAATCGAATAGTTTAACAATTTATTTCATTTAAGTGTTGAAAATAAACAAATTACAAGAAACTAATGGAATAATAATTTACACTCGAGTTCTGCACCCACGGGCACCTCAGCTTGTGCATGCGCAGAAAGCTTTTGCTGCTCTTGGAGCACTTTCCGAGGTAACTGTTACTTGCACTTCTGCTTCTGATGTGTATTAGCTTCTCAAAGCTTTCCTGTGAAACTGTAATCTAAAAATTTCACACATAGCTCAACCTAACCTAGGCCTTTATTAACAATCACTCTTTCTTGAGGAATCCGAAAAAATAGATTAAGTAAACAGTTAAAACTTCACTTCGTAAATAATTCATGCATACACATCAATTTGTCAATACTTATTTAACAAATCACTTTAGCTTCAGAACACTCAATGCTCGTAGCAATTTCATTTTCATAAATCATAATATATTGACTTTCATTCAAGCAGCTCAGGTCAATTAAATAAACAAACACCGGAACACCTTCACATTTACAATGCACAGTTCGCAACTGCAACTGTTGAAAACTACTAACCTGGTTCAAGAAAGATATAGATTGAAGCTATTAAACAAATAGCTGCTATCCCAGGAACTGTTCTAAGTTCCAAGGCTTTCTGTGTAAGTGGAAGCATAGATGCCCATGGGTACGGAACGTCGAGTATATAATTAGTTTACTAATAGATCGTACAAACACTCATAAATCATGTATCAGACGACTGTGCAACACATTCCTTAGAGAAATAACAATTATGAACATAAATTAATTATTATTACTGTATTAATATATGTTGCACTCGGGTTGTTCAAAATACCCTTTTTTACCCTCAAAAATTAATTACCCTCGAAAATACCCTCGAAGGCCCAAATTACCCTCGAAAAGGGTAATTACCCTCGAATTGGCAACGCTGCTCTCTGGAGGACCAAAACAAAACCCCCCACCACCGAGTTTCAGGGTCCTGGTCAGAAACCAAAGAGAACATCTTCTGCAAAGGAGTGGGGATTGTGGGAGAGCAACTTTAAGAAAAATTATAAAATTAAATTATACTTGTAGCTTGTAGTCATGGCCACCTTTAACTACAGGCCGCGGCCTGGTAGAATTGGCAACGTCGCAAGTGGTGTTGTTCAGTGACAGACGTCCCATAAACATGGCAGACAGGGAGTCGCTGTCAATGCGCCACCACGTCAAACCGCCACCTCGGTGTTTTGGTCAGAGGCGTCAACCCGCCACCACAAAAAAACCGAGGTGGTGGGTTGACGTGTACGTACAAGTCAACCCGCCACCTCGACAACAGGCCACCACGACAACCCACCACCACACAATTTTCCGAGGTGGCGGGTTGTCGTACACACTCAAGTCAATGAGCCACCACGACAACATGCCACCACGACAACCCGCCAACACCAGTTTTTATCAGAGGTGGCGGGTTGTCGTGAAGCTCCATGTTCGATGTCGGCAACCCGCCACCTCGTACGTAGGCGACAACGTGCCACCCCGTCAACCCGCCACCACTCTTTTACGAGGTGGCGGGTTGACGTGTACGCTCAGTGTTCGGTGCCGTCAACGCGCCATCTCGCTCATAGGCGACAACGTGCCACCTCGACAACCCACCACCTCGCGGTTGGATTTATCAATAAATAAATCGGTTGGATTTATATTCTGTAGCATTAAATATATTGTACTTTGATTCAGTTAATTTAGAGAAAGTTAATGTACCTAACTCTTAAATAGCGTTTCTGGACATTTTAGTTTATTTTCGGAAGAAAGATTGATAGGTAATACAATTATTTACATGGTGAAAACCCGACATTTGAAAGGGTCTCACGCCTTTAAGGGTAGGAACTTTTAAATTCTAAAACCTTAATGCAAAACTACGAATTGGTCCGAATCCTTTAACACCAACATCTTAAACGTTGAAATTTGTCCACAAATAAGGGAGGAGTAGTGTTCACAAAACACAGTCCTCGCGTATTAATATGAGATGATAAAAACGTATACCTACCAAAAACAAAAATAGAATAGTTATTTTACTTAATTGCCAGTGAATAAACAATTTTTTTCATTAGGCGTATAAATATATATATATAAGTTTTTATGCGCACCTACCACCACGTGCGCACGCAACATACTTGTGAAAAGCATGCATTTTATACATTTAAACCGGCGATAGTCAGGGATAGTCTTGTGCCATTTTATAATGGTGATTGCGAAAGCAAGACGCAAAGAAAATTGTATTCATTTGAATTCAAAAGGTAATTCGGGTGAAATTATCGGTATTCTGTGATTAGACCACGAATACTAGAAGAGACCCGGTATGGATTATAAACATAAACAAATGATGTTTTAAAAAAATAGTACAACACCCCATTGCTGTAACAATTATGGTCCAAATGTTATTTCAGCTTTTGTGATTTTGAACTATATACTATCACCGCTTTCCCATGATATAGGATGTTAACAAGCTTATATGGGAGAAAGTATGTTTCAGAATGCTGATACCGTTAATTTTTACATTTATTTTGTCATTTAATGTTTGATATTAAGTAATCGTCCGTGATATGAAATAAATTGAATCACGTATATTGGCGCCCTGATGGAATTTCAAATGTGTTTTGTTTTATGGCAAATTTACATGTCACGACCTATCCAACGACACCTTAAACTTGATGATCGGATGTGTAGCAGTTTCTAAACAATAATCACAACATTTGTGTTGGCCAATTAAATATTTAAATAATGATGATGTTTATGTGTAAATGTATCCTCGACTAAACAATTTTCACAATGCGCAGTATATCGTATCTACATAGGTTAAAATAATATTACTGATTCATTTGAACCTTAATTATGCATCAAGCAGTTTCATTATACGATTAGATAAAAATTTGCCTTAGGATTATAACCTGAAAAAAGTCAAAGCCAAAGTCCTTTATTTTTGTTAACCTGATTTTTGTTTGAAAAAAAAATGTTTTTTTTCGCAAGATAATGACTTTTGGTACCATTTGCCTCCGTTTAATAACTGATCAACGCTGTTTATGGCGAAATAATATTACATTTGGATGTTAAAAATGTAACTGGCCTAAGCGTTTATTTCAAGTTACGGCCTGATTTATACGTTGAAGTACAGTGCTACTTTACTAATATTACAAATGAATGTTTGTGTGTTTGTTTGGGGTTCAATCACTCAATAACAATTCATTGATCACATCGGGATTAGGCTGAAATTTGGCATGATGATAACACTTTCCTGATTAAAATATAGGCTTGTTATTACCTCAAAACTTTTTTTCTTTCTTTTTGCCTTTTTGAATATATCACTCGTATGTATTTAGAATAGCACAGTATGCCTCATTATTAAAAAATCAGGAACAAACCACGAATTATTACTGGGAAAGGTGAACGAAATGCATGTTGTAAAATGTAGACGTGGACACCTGGTGCAAAGTATTTGGCCGATTGTTTAATATAAACAAACCATAACAGTCAGTACTGGGAACTTTAAAGGAAATATTAGGGAACAGAATACAGGGGTGTCCCGTTAATCCCCTCGCACGTTTCTACGAATGGACTTAATCTGGTATTTCTTAGATTTTTCTTTCACATCAACAGGCCATTCCAGTTATTGAGGTGTCGGGTCACTCAGGCCAGTTCACTTTCCCGTAGTTGCGAGATCGCGATTGTCCTTTAATTTCCAACCTAAATACTGTTTTCATTTCACGTAGTAATCACAAAAGAGAACCAAACTAATATTCTGCTGTTGATAAAACTATTCTATTTCTTGTATTAATTTATTTTATTTAGACGTCGGATTATACTTTTTGAAAGATTTTTAGACAAAAACAAAACAATCCAAATCACTGTTTTGAATGATATTGGACACGTTTCTTTAAAATTGTACTAAAACGTCACTTACCAAATACCATAATGTGACGAGATAATACGTTATCTGAAAACAATTCGACCTGTTTAGTGTAATCATCTTCCTACCAACTGTCAATTATATCTTTACGTTATAATTTATTTACAATTAGTGAATAAACGGAACTAGCTGCTGTGCCCGTGATTCGAAACGGGAAGATGTACCAAAAGTCCATACTGCCTAATCCAAACACTTGTTAAGTAGTTTGAATTTTTTAACAAATAGCAATCAAATTTTTACAAAAATGTATGCCCTACATTGTAATTAACCTACTGTTTACATTAAAAATATATCACAACATAATTTTTATAACTTATGGTTATAGAATTTTTCTTCATTTCAATAATCAATTGCATAAATAAACCTACCACATAGTTGTGTAAATTACATAATGTTAACAATTAATATATGTTCTTCTTCTCATTTTTAATCTCTGACAACAGCTGGAATTACATAACAATGTCTGTTTCCCATGAATCTTATGGAGAAATGTGAACCTGTAAAGGGTCCCAGGGCCTCACCCTAATTATTTCCCTAAAAAGAGAGTTTCCTGGACAACTTCACGTTACGCTCTTTCCAAATGACACCAAAAACATGCCAATCGGTTTAGTAATTTCGGAGGAAGAAATGTCACAGAAAAACCTGCTTGCGTATTAAATAAGTTAAAAATCCCTCACCTCAGAATTTTGGAAGCCCGTGGAGCAGATACTAATTCAATATCGAAGGGGGGGGGGTAGTTCTAATCCTCGGAGCGGTAGCTTGATTTTTGTCCAATTTGAGTCCAATCGGTTCAGTAGCTTATAGTTTATCTCAAACAAACACACAAACACCACCTCTTCTTTATAATAGTATAGATAGATTTAG